GCGATATTGGGGAAGAGTTGCAGACTTTTCTATTTGTTTGAGGGCCTTTGGAGGCCGTTTGGGTGAACTACGTGAAGGCTTGATTCCTTGGGCAAGAGGATACGTAGGCAGTCAGTTTTGATGCAGCCGATTTGGTGAGTAGATACCGACGTTTGGGTGAGTGTTCGCACTCCCGTTTGGGTCTCGACTTGTGTGGATGGAGTCCGTTGTCATGAGTCCGTTGCCGTGGCGTACTGGATGCAACAAGTGAGGCATTTGTTTTGGTTGGTGTCGGCTCAGTGTTGGGAACACTTCGCCGAGGTGGAGAATTGTGAAAACGGCGAAGGAATTGTGAAAAACGTGAAGAATAACTCAAAACAGACTCCACCACACCCTGGTGTGGTGTCTGCCATGGGTGTGGTAGAATCTGTCCTGCACCACACCCTCTGCCACACCCACGGTGCAGGGTGTGGCAGAATCTGTCCTGCACCACACCCTCTGCCACACCCATGGTGCAGGGTGTGGCAGACTCGTTTTTAGAATCCCAATCAGTTTGGGATTGTGTTTTGCTATAAATAGAGACACGTTTTTTAGGGTTTCCTAGGCTTGGTTTAGGCTTTGATTAAGCATTGATTGGGGGCTATTTGGAGCACAAAAAGAGGTATTTTTGAGCTATTTGTTTAGGGTTTTATTTGGAGAGATTAAGAGCTTTGTGGTGAGATTAGTTTGTTCCTTTGAGCGTATTGTAATCTCAGTTTGTACTCTTTCTCTATTAGTGAAAACCCCATCCCCCCTTGCCCCGTGGACGTAGGCAACTTGCCGAACCACGTTAAAATTGGTGTTTTGTTTGTGCATTGATATTTGGTTCGTTTGGCTCTCTTGGATTGGCGTTTGGTTTGGTTCCTCGACACAGCTTCAGGCACAACAAATCCATCCTTATCCTTTATGATCAACCAACATAACATGAACCTCTACCAAAATTTTCTCTCTCTTTTCTGTTTGCTAACGTTTGTAATTAGGAGTGCAAATGGATCGAATGTGGATCGTATATGTTACTCCATATTCATGTCTATTTACAAATCATAGACATGGGCACAGATATGAGTACAAGCAAAATCAATTGAATATGTATAAAATAAAAGAAAATATACGATAGAGGGTAACCGATAAAATTGGTAAAAATATAAAGGTCATGTGATGCAAGTGAGTCCATAAACATGTTCCGCATATTGAAAAAAAAATTAAAGATTAGATACCTATATCACCAAATTAGTCCCAACTCATTAATCTAATGATCAAAACATTTGAGACTACGTAATCGACATAATTGGATATTCATGATACCAAACCAAATATTTTACTATATACATGTATCTGTAGCAATTTCCTATCAGATACATGTTTAGTATCTATATTCATATATGTTGATGTACTAGTGACCACACAGTCAGTTATATCCGTGCTTGGATTAATTTGTTGAGGATTGATGATGGGCCGCTTTTTTTCCCGACTTTATATTTGGTTCTTTGAACATGATAGATAAATCTGCACAAATAGAAGTTCGTGAGTGGATGGAGTTTGGTTCCCTCGTTGTACCTCCGGCGATTAAGCTAGCTGATGAACTTGAGTGTGATAAATAAGAACTGTGAGAGTTCTTGTTTGTGTGCAATATAATTTTGCAGATATCTCTCAAGAGATCAGGTTTTTGAACCAGTTTTTTACTAGTTTTGGAACCCCTTTAAAGTTCGAATAGTACCTATATATATACTATGGGTAGAAGGGTAGATTGGTCACTTTGGTTGAGCGCTGAGAGGCGGTGGCGAAGCATGGGCTGGCAGCCGCGTCAGCACTTGTTTTACAGGTGTCGGCTGGTGATTGGGGGGAATGGCATTTCAACATTAAATGAGAAGTGAGTGGTGGTAGGGCTGTGGTCCACGTGGTTCGATGAGTCATGAAGACTATCAGAGATAGAGTCTTGATGGCACCTGCCAAACATTAAATGCGATGTTGACACATTGCCAGAGAGAGAAGCTAGAGGTAAAAATAGTCCTTTAACTTCGCCGAAAAGTAACACATCTCGAGTCGACTTCACAAGGTGTTTGGCAACGGGTCGAGTGTGCTCGTGGTGAGTCGTCTTCAATGAAAGGGGACAACAAACACCGCCTTTCGTGTCGACATTGAGATGTGTCGTCTCGTTGAGTCGGCTGAGGAGTAGGCCTTATTCGTCCCTGACCGCCAAGTTGATTGGGGCATAGCGTGTAGAAGTACACTTGTCAGCTACTTGGTATTGAGTTGTAATCGGGCGAAAAATGGGAACACCATAACAATATCCATTAGGATACGACACAGATATATCCTCAAATATGAACATTAGATTTGAATTATCCTCGACTATGAATATTAGATTTGCATTGCTCATCGTACGATACAAAATCCCCCCAAAACCAAGTTATCGGCAACTGTCAAGGTAATTGTTCAAATGCAAACATTAGCACTTGAAAACTTGAACCAGAGAGTAGTCCCAAGCACAGAGAGGTGGACCACTTGACATTAGGTTGATAATTTTTAAAAAGTTCCAAACACTGTTTTCCTTTTACTTGTAGCTTCCATTTCTTAATTAATCAACCATTCAGAATTCCTTCGTCATCTCGGTTAATTTTTCTTGTCTTTTCCTTTGAACTCGAGGTTAAGGTGAAATAAAATAAAATACAGGGCAGGTGATCAGAGATATCGTTACTTCATCCTACTTGTCTCTCGTTGAGCCTACTGACAATGCTAGCCTTTACACATGCAGTGGGTGCAACAAATGATTGAGGCAGCCTAAGAACTGGTTATTCCCTCTTGAATTTACAAAACCCTTAAACTTGCTATTCATTAGTTTAAACACCTAAGCAGATAGTTTAATATATCATCACATGCTTAGTTATGCCCCAAGACCAAAACTAGCATTCTTTAATTCCAATCATTAATGAGCGCAGTCCTTAGGATCTGAAAAACGTTATGGATAATGAAAGCAATAGTCTAAAGAACTCCTGAATGTCAATGCATTAAATTCCAGCTCTCCTACATATTAGTTCTGATTTTAAGAATAGTATGGGGTTTCCAACTAGATTAAGGGGGGTTAGTCTCCTAGAACTTAAAATTGGAACTTGAATAATATGTGAGATAAATTTTTAAGGTGTTAGTCACATAGAACTAAAACTAGAACAAAATTTTACAGTGTTAGTTAAGAAGAACTCTAAAAAAACTAGAATTGGGATAATGGTATAAAATTATCCTAATTTTTTTTTATTTTTCTATATAAAAATGAGAGTTCTAGTCTCTCAAATTATTCCAAGTTTTAGCTTGAAACTAGGTGGTAAATCATATTTATTTTGTTATTTTTTATTTTTATATTTTTTTCTTTACTTCTTTCCTATTATGGTTATCACGTGCACCATCATTATAATAATAATTGTCAATATCTTAGTCTAACCAAAAGTTATTTAATAGTAAAAAAACATTCTTGTAAGCAATTATCAATCGATAATAGTAAGTTTAAAATACATAAATAGTATTTATATCTTCAAAATGCATAAATATATATATATATATTTCATGATTATAAAAATTTATCCACGTTATTTTATCAAAATATCACGCTTCATAAAATTGTTCCTATTTATCCCACTAAAATATCTCACTACCGAAAAAATATTCCACTTTAACAATTATCCCATTTTGCATGAAAATGTCTCAATTGACTAATACCCACATAAACAAGGACTTTATCCAAGATCAAGAATTTTTAAGTGGCTTTTCTTTAAAAAAATATCCAGCAACTAAGCGTGATCTTCGCCACTATACAAGGTTGCAACACTTGAAGTTGGTCATGGATTTAGGCAAAGGTGGCCATGTTGAAGAAAGTGGAAGCAAAGAATGATGGATGGCTATCAAATAATTGAAGGACAGTATAATAATAGGCAGTTGGTAAAGAACATAATCACAATAACAACTCAGAAGTAAGATATATATCAAGAAACAGTCGAGAATTTTAACCAAAAGAATCACATTAAAAACCCCACTTGATTTGGGTTGTCTGGACGGTATATATCCCGTGAAACGAGAATCCCGTGGAGTTTTCAAAGCCTTGTTACTTGGCCCATATTCTACATGATCAGGCGCCAACGTGCTACGTAAAACCAAATCCTTTGAGGTTGAGGTTGTAAAATTAAGTACTCTATTTGCGTAGTTCTACCCTTTCCACAGCTTGCATAAACTTTGAGGTTGAGGTTGTAAAATTAAGTACTCTATTTGCGTAGTTCTACCCTTTCCACAGCTTGCATAAAGATCAATGGTACTACTTGCAACAGCCAAAATCTATTTGCGTAGTTCTACCCTTTCCACAGCTTGCATAAAGATCAATGGTACTACTTGCAACAGCCAAAATCAGGTTGAAGATTGTTTCTAATTCAAAATTAATGACCAATTCTGCAAGCATCTTTGCAAGCTTATAATAATCAATGATTAGGTCACAGAATCAAACTTCAAAGTTCTCCTTTCACATCTAATGACAAGTCCATAATGCCTTATCAATCTGCCCATCTAGCAAGTTACAGGTTGCTACATCTATTTCCACCATGAGGTTGAATACCATCTCAGAGTATTTAACCAAACCATTCTTACAATATTACGAAGTAGGACTAATTGCGAATAGACCCCCTGTATTATCACCATGTTGTGGATAGATCCCCTGTAGTTCTATTTATGTAGATAGTTATATTTGCCCAAGTACAGATAGATACCATGACTCTTTTAGCAGCGAAAAAGAAAAGAAAAGAAAAGAAAAGAAAAGGCAACCGAGGTATGTGGGTGTATCCTCACCAGTAGAAGCAGATGGGGCCTATCCACCTCCTCAGTTGACTCTTTTAAGAGTAAAAAAATTCACTCAACGAATCTGCCCACACAAATTGAGGAGAATCCTCCTAATTCTTTAGAAATTTATATAACCTTAAATACAAGATAATGAACTTCACACAGAGTGAGAATTTGAATATACATGGCATAAAAATGAAGTTTATTTGTAAACTGGTAACAAAATTTACATACAACTTTTTTCTAATAGACACATTCTGTCCGTTTCAGTAACCAAATATCCTAACAACAACTCACAACTCGGCCAAACTAAAAAGGGCAAAATTAAGATACAACGAGATCATACAAGAACTATACATGCTCATCTGTACGTCACTTTCAGTAACAAATAAAAACATTCACCATGGATATCTTTAACATACACTGCTCATCTCCGCTGGAAGTTGAATACCTTGATTGAGAAGGCAAAGACAACGGCGAAGAGCACAGTGAACCCCATTACTGCAATTGCAATATATCCCAGGAAATCATGTTTAAACCCGAAGTAACTCTTCAAGAATTCCTTCACTGTTGCCCCGTCAGCATCAGTGAGTGGAGTGTCATAATCTCCAAACTGTGATGCCACCAATCCATACAGTGTCCATGCAACCGGGCATGCCCATGAGTACCATCTCCACCACACTGGGATCCTCTGAAAAATCGCAAAATAAATTTAATTAGCACTTCAATTTGATAAAAACATCGAATAAATAGGGTTAATTGTGGATAGACACCCTGCAGTTCTATTCTTGTGGATAGCCCACCAAACTGTGGATAGACCCCTCAAGTGAAAATTTTGACTCTTTACCCTTGATAGGTCTTCTTGCCCAAAAATAAATTTCTCTTTCAGACCAAGTAAAAAAAAAATCACTTCAGGGAGTGTCTCTGCAAGAATGGAACTGCATGGAGTCTATCCGCAATTGGACGATAGTTCGCGGGGCCCGGGGGGTGGGGTGGGGTGGGGTTCGGTCTATCTGCACTAACCCAAATAAATATGAAGTAGCAAAATAAGGAAGTTGAACTTACAGGTCGAGGGATCAGATATCCTGCAAAGACATTCCATACAAAGTAGAAAGCAGTCGAGACTATGGCAGCAATGTCGCTGTTGGGTGTCATAGCAACTGCCATCATCCCATAGAAGGTGAAGTACATGAAGGTGAAGTACATGAAGAACAAATACCACAAGAATTTCACTGCAGTCCATTCGAATGAGATGCAGCTGTAGACGACCACTCCGTAGATGAGAGCTTGAAGGAAAATGTGTGGGATCTCAATGAAAACCTAAATTCATAGAGGGATGTTAGGTAAAGAAATTGATGAAAGCAAAGAAATGTTTGTACTTAGATACCAGATTTGCTAACCTGTGCATATGCATACGGAAGAGCAGAATACATTCCAGCAGCCTTCTCTCTGTAGAAAACAGTTCTTTCTACGTCTACAATGGGCTGCACAGTTTGGCCGTTCTGGATTCCAATGAAGAGAACTGCAGCATACATAGACCCGAGAGAATTGAAGAGATCTTGCTGTGTCTTCCTGTAATAATTACAGTATCAGATATTAGTATCTGGCAATCAAAACATGAATAGTCTGATGAAGTAAATGGAAACTTACACTTTTTTCCCTAGTTTCCAGAAAATAGTCCCGAAAATGAAAGCAATGACAGTTGTGAAGAAAATTCGGGTAGCAGTGTATGATGGATTGCGCCAGTATGATTTATGCTGCTTCCAAAGGCATGCTGCACATTGTGTGAAGAAAGACTGGGAGTACTTTGTTGGGAAGTAGAGATCTTTTGATCCTGGGGGAGGAGAACTCAGTTCGGAGATTAAAGCTTTGTTTCTCCTGTAATATTATCATCAATTAGGATGAGTTGGCTGTAGTTATCTCTCTATATTTATCAAAGTGCTGAAAGCATACTAGATGAAAATCTACCTGTAGAGGTCAGAGTTTCTATATAACTCGGTAAAGTTGACACCAATAAGTTCTTCTTGTGCTTGTGAAGTCACCTCCAACATCCATGTAGCTGGGTTATATCCATCTTTGATTTTTCTTACTCCTTCAATATCCTAAGAACAATTTGAAAAGTAGTATATATTATTATCAGGTTCAGTTCAGTTAGACTTCACTAATGAAAGGAATTCACTCAGTCTCACCTCAAAGTACTTGATCAGGTGACACGAATTGCGACCCAATGGACCGACGTAGATCTCTTCTCCTCCTCTTTTCATAAGAAAGAGCTACAGTTGAGTAAAAACGAATGTCATGTTCTCTGATACAAATGAGTAAAGATGGAAAATTCAGGTGAAGTTTTGGATTCTTATGTTTTTGATAGCCACCCACCTCATCAAAGGCTTCAAAGATGTCAATGCTAGGCTGGTGAATTGTGCAAACAACAGTCCTTCCAGTGTCCACAGTGTTCCTAACCGCCCTCATGACAATTGCAGCTGCCCTTGCATCCAGTCCAGAGGTTGGCTCATCCATAAATATGATTGAAGGGTTTGCAACAAGCTCAACTGCAATTGTCAGCCTTTTCCTTTGCTCAGTTGAAAGACCATTCACGCCTGGTAAGCCCACAAGTGCACCCCTCAACGAGCTCAATTCTACTAACTCCATGACCTCTTCAACAAATGCCTGCATCGATCATCAATCACCAACATAAGTTATAGCCAAAATTTCTAATCGTAAATAAAAAATGTATATTCTTACTGACTTTTCGTGCATTGGCATCAACTTCACTTGGTAAACGAAGCCATGCAGAGTAGACAAGAGATTCATAGACTGTGATATGTGGCGAGTGGATGTCATTTTGTTCACAATAACCAGATATGCGAGCAAATGTTTCTTGTTTCTTGGGATAACCAGAAATGCAAATATCTCCATCAATATAACCGCCAGTCTTCCTTCCGGCCAAAACATCCATCAGAGTTGTTTTTCCGGCTCCACTGACCCCCATCAATGCTGTGAGAACACCTGGCCTAAAAGCTCCACTAACTCCTTTCAATAGGACCAGCCGGTCCTCCGTAACTCCTTGCTCTTTCATTTCCTAAAGATAAATATTCTTTTAGACTACTTGCTAATTTATCCAAATGTGGAAGAGAAAAAGTACCTAGAGATTAAAATTACCTGGGGCATGTCCACAGAATATTTGATGTTGTCGAAGGTGATTGAAAGAGGAAGAAATGGAAGTACCATTCCTCTTTTTTTGTTTGCTCCAGTGTCATTCCTAATTTCATCAGTACCTCTTCCTGCAGATATTAAGGTTTTCATCAGGTTCATGGAAGAATCTTTTTCGTAGATATCATTGGTAAACAATCAGTCCAAGACCAACCTGGATTTCTTGCAGAGTCTGTTCCCGGAGGCAGAAGTTCTACACTTTCTCCAGTTCTGTTGGCATGTTTCTCCCTTAATTCCTCCTCAGTTACAACTGCCTGACCATTTCCAAGTGCTGTAGGCATTAAATCAGAAACTTAGAACGACAATGCATTGAAATTTTCTACAAATTAACAAGTGATAAAAAGAAAAAGACACTCACGGTCTAGCCAATCCAGGAACAGAACAAAGAGAAGATTGAAGAGGAAAATATATCCAATGAGTGCTCCCACACCAATCCAATACCAGTTAGGATCGACAAAGATACCGCGTTTTTTAAGAAATTCAACCCCTAATGTTTCATTCGTAGCAGGATTAACAATCTGTACCAAGGAAAATTCTCATCTGAGCAAACCATATTGTGGAAATTGATACAAAATTTAGGCTTCTATATTTCCTGATTGAATTTTTACCTTGTGCCAGCTATGTCCAAGGAACTCATTCACTGCAACTGCATTATGTGCATACGTGAGGGGAGAGCACCAGTAACCCCATATCCACCATTTCTTGATGTTCTCTGTAACAGAATGTAATTCACTAGTTAACAGAAATGTTCAGCCTCAAATGCTAATAGAAGAAACCTCAATTTTCAAGTATCCCTTTACCTCGAGATATAACGAATCCACCAAGAATTAAGAGTACTATTTGTGCAAAGGAGCCAAAAGTGTCTGCAACAACCATCTCTCTGCCAAGCGCAGCAAGGAGCCGGAAGAGGCCGGATGCCATCTGACTAACCAATACTAGCAGAACATAGTGTCTAAAGAACCTTTGGATGTTTGGATCAAATCCGATTGTATAGTAAGTCAAGGCAATCCAGACAGCACACTCTAGAAAAGATATGGGAATCTTGAGGATCCATGTAGGAAGAGCATAAGCCCATGAAGGATAGAATAGGAGGTCCCTCTGCTTGTAGAATATAGGAAGCTTTGCAATACTCATTGCCATTTCAGCAAATCCATTGAATAGATGAGTTACGAGCCCAAGAAACATAGCACCTAAAAAGACAACTCCATCCTCAATTCCTTCACGAGGCATTTTTGTACGTAGGAAGACAGTCATTGCAATGAGTCCAAGAATTATAATCTAAAAGAGAAAGGAAACAAAGTATCCAAAATTATAAATTAGGACTTATTGAGAGTTCAATCACAAAGAAGCAAAGTAAGGGCTCTGATTTGCACTCACTTGAACAACTTTGAAGATGTAGACAAAGGAATTTCTCTTCATCAACAGCCATTCTCTGGAAGTGCATGCCTTTAGTAACTCCATTTTGCTGATTCCATACTTCGTTGTGGTCAAAGCAGCAGGGTGATTCTTGCTTCTGTCGAATGGTGTGCTAAGATCCTCACCTAGCTTGCGGCCGACATGGAAGGACTGAAAAGCTTCAGCAAACTCATTGACTGAAACATACATGTAGGGCTCATTTCTTCGAGCCCAGTACTGATGTTGATCCTTTCTTGATGTAACCTATTGAACAAGAAGTATAATTGGGTCAAGAATATAAATGGTATCCATTGTTTCACCTCATCTTTAAAATATTAAAAGAGAGAGAGAGAGAGGAGAAGAAGAAGAAGAAGAAGAAGAAGAAGAAGAAGAAAAAGGGGGAGAAAAAGAAAGGGGAAATATTGCAGCTTCCTTACGTAATTCGTCTTTATCCATTAAGTTTGTGTTTCAACTCTTTGGAATAATAAATATCATTAGGAAATGGTAGTTGTAACATTATCCTATCGGTTTATTTCTGATAAAAAAAATTACATGGTAACCTTGCAATTCTATAATCAGTCGGTTCCTATGTCTGTGCCCATAAAAACAAGTTACAACCCCCAATAGAATGATAGGGTTCGGTTTCAAGTTCTTCCTTCTGGTATCAAGTGAAAACGAAACATGTTAAAAGGAAGGAAAAACATTGGTTATAAAACTTACTTCCTGCAAGAAGTCAGCAACACCTTTTCTCTCGGGGCATTTAAAACCCATTGACTCAAAGAACTCAAGGACATTCTCACGAGGACCCTGATACACAATTTGTCCATCTGAGAGAAGAATTATATCATCAAAGAGATCGTACGTTTCTGGAGCCGGCTGAAGCAATGCAATTACTGCAGTCCCTCCAAGGATGTGAACTGATTGTCTAAGAGAATTGACAATCTGATAAGTTGTAGAGCTATCAAGTCCCGTAGATATCTCATCCATGAATAGTGCCTTAGCCGGTCCAACTAGCATTTCACCTGTATGAAGTAGTCCAAACAAAAATGCTTATTACCACGAAATTGGAATTTGGTACATCTCAATCTCAGGTAATTCATTTGGTATTTATATGTAATCCTGCAAGATTTACCTGTTGTAACACGCTTCTTTTGACCTCCAGAGATACCTCTAATCATTGCATCTCCCACCATAGTATCGGCACAAATGTCAAGTCCTAAAATCTGCAGAAGATGTTATAGGAATAAAGAAATTGAGTTTCTATTATTGATTAGTTTGAGAAATTAGTCATGTGATGCCACAGAAACTTACCTTCAGGATGTAATCAGAAACTACAGTCTCCTGTCCTTCCACAGAAATAGCCTGTAGGAGAATAAAATTAGGATGAGGATTAGTATTGGTGCTAAAAATGAAAAGGAGTAGTCATCAGTAAAACACTACCTAGGTCCTCAAGTCATCAAAAATATTGCAGGATCTTAACAGGAAACGTGTGCGGGGTTTGATTTCTTGCCAAATAATATTGGGAGTATTAGAACTCAAATTACTGTGGGCAGTTCATAAACATCACTTTCTATTGGTTAAACTTCATATTTTCTTTTGATGCCATTGCGTTTGTTATAACCAGTTTGATCTTATACGACTCACAATATCACGCTAAAACTGAAACATATATAATGTGGATAAGACATGAATATAAATTTCTTGTTTCTCATGCTAAATGAAGTTAAAATTCTATCATCATATCAAAGGAGGAAGCTTCTCCTATATCTCTTGGACATATCTCTTGGATTGATTGTATATCATGTTCAACATCCTTCAGGTTAAGTCCACAGGTTCAGCTCAAGCTTGACGATAAACAACCTAATCTCCAGCCTTGACTTTTTTGTCAAAAGAAAAATATGGGCGACACCTGATCATACTATAACTGGTTCTTCCATGTGAACAATGGAATCTCATGTTTCTCCTAATTCAGTACGGATTCTTTCTAATAATTCTTAACTTGCAGAGATGAGCAATAATAGAAACAACCTATAAGAAAAGGATTCTAATGTTTATGCTTCACCTTCATGTACACATCGATATCAGGATCAGGCTTAATGTTTGCTTCTTTCTCCCTTCTTGACAACTCAGTCAACATTTCTGTAAACCATTAAAAACATTCATAGCTTCAGTTTACAAAACCCCATGAACCTCCATCAGTCAACCACAAGTTTGTTTAATCTCGCTTACCATATCGAGTACCAACTCCTTGGAATCTCGCAGAGTAAGCCAAAGTTTCTCTCACCGTCATCTCTCCAATATGCAAATCATTCTGACCGATATAAGCAGAGGTCCTCTGAGGGACAAACTCATGCATATCGTGTCCATTGTAAGTCACTCTTCCTTCAACCTATAAATATATAAAACCAAATTTTTCTAAGTATTCACATTAAACGCAACAAAACTACAAATACCATGAAATAACTGAGTAAGATATTGATACCTTCAGCGCTGAATCGAGCTTTCCTGCCAAAGCCAACAACAAAGTAGTCTTCCCAGATCCTGGAGGCCCAAGAAGCAGAGTCATTCTACAGGGCTTCACAATTCCACTGACATTATGAAGGATCGAGATCGGCCTCTTCCCACTTGGCAAGATTTTCAGAGAACTCAAAAAACCCTGACACAAGAACCCAATTCAGATCCAAATCAATTTCTCAACAGAATGAAAGAAGGAAAAAATGAATCTTTTTCTCTTCATCCAAAACAACAAAAAACAAAAAACAAAAACAAAAACAAAAAACAAAAAACTAAAACAAAAGACAAAAAACAAAAAACTCACAGTCAACTTGTTCACAAAAAAGTTGGTAAAAGTCGGAATCCCTCGATTCCCCACAAATGCCTCTGCATCAATGTTCAAATGCTCGAATCGGACCTCAATCGTCGGATTATCAATCCCAACCCTAGAAAACACCAAAAATTTACCCAATTAAGCAAACAAACAGAAAACAAACAGCAAACAAACAAACTCAATACAAAATCAAATCTTTACCGCTCCATTCGATTCCTGAGCTTCAGCAAGAACCTTTCATTATCCTCCTCCGCAGTCCGTACCAACCTCTCAAGCAAACCTCAAACCCAAGATCGTTTGATGTTGACCTCCAGGTTTGACGGGCAGCGCGCGGTGAGGATGCTTTCCTTGAGGCCTATTCGTAGGTCGGCAAGCTTCTCCAACCGCCCATTTCAGGGCGCCTCTGTCGTTCGTCCTCCTCTCGACCGATCCGCCGGAAGACATGCCGCCGACGACGAGAAGCTCGCATCTGACGCGGCCGGCTCGAAGGCTGCCCGCCCAACCTCATGCTTCCTATCGATCGACTGCTCCCAACCCTACGGCTTGGATCCATGGCAAGAGGCGGAGATCTTCAGCTATTTTGATAATTTATTAAATTCTTGATTTTTTTTGAGTTTCGAGGAAATTTCTTCGTTGGGGTTGAAAATTGGTGAGGTTTGTGATTGACTTCGCGGAGGGGGTGTTCTATATATCACTCGTTGAACGCGGGAAGGTTCACACGTAGGGAGGCGGGTATGCGGGTGTGGATGGGTGCGTGGACAATTATTTTGGAGCAAGCCAATGTTGACCGGCTACGGTTTGGAGTTGAAGATTGTTCTGGAGGCCAGCTTGGAATAAGTCGAACTATGGTGATCCCGACCGTTAATAAACCCGTAGAGATCGTGGGACCCATGCTGGGCCTAACTGTGTAGTTTTCATGAGGGGATCTTTTCTTCCACACAATAAACAAGTGGTCATGGTATTAAGGCACCACAAGACCACGGCAGCAAAATCAATAAAATTTACAGAACTAAAATTCTTACCTTAGACAGTGTTTTGAATTTCACCTTTTATATATATCCTCTAATTAATTTTGTGATTACACATAATTTATTGTATCCAGACCCTTTCTAATTTGTTAGTAATTGACGGCAAGTAACCTAATCAGAGATGATCTAAATTCATTTAACTTATAATATTTTAAAAAAAATCCTCCTTTTTCTGATAGTCTAGCCTGGAATCGAACCCAAGACCGTGAGAGTCATAGTGGAACCTCTCAACTGTCCAGACAGACATAGTGGAACATATTAGTTCACAAATATTTGGTACCGTTCCCACAAATTTGATGTTAATTTCTTCATTAGAAACTGAAGTCTGCTTAGAAGTCTCCATCATGGTTTATTTTAAAAAAAAGTAAAAAAAATTCCATAACAGAATTTCGTAGTCATTCTTTTATTAAATTCAATCAAGTTAATAAATTGGTCTAGGACCACAGACCTATCAAATATAAGAGAACTGTACAGGAATTTGGATCCATGACCTTTAATTTCTTTTTTTTTAACCCTACATATTTCACCTGAAAATTAGCAAAGCAGTGTTCACATCCAAAATAGTAAACGATTAATGTAGAAAGTCATAATTTTGAAATTTATTATGAACTCCAAACGTACTACACGACTGTATCTAAATAGAAATAAATATATAATTTATAGGGGCTAGCTATTTGCTAAGTAAGCTAAATATTAATGAGTACGTATATGAGAGGGCCAATTAAGTCTTATGAGGACTGAAAAGCCTCCAATATTAGTCAATGAATGCAGATTAATTTCATAATTTCATCTTATTCTCTCGATGACTTTTGATTAAATGTTGTGGATGCTTCAACCTTAAGAGACATATATAAAATCACGAGAATTTACACCCTCTTTGACTTTTGTGCCTTTTCTTACAGAATTAGCGCATAGTACTCATCTGTTATGTTCCATGTTTGATTTGAAAAAGGAAAAAAAAAAAAGAATTTTATTAGTCTATATGTGCTATGCTGAGTCATAACGTGCCATACTATGTCCTAAAGTGTTACACTGAAGTCACATTACTTTGTCCTAATGTGTTACTAGCCTCTATTATATGCAATAAAGTGGACAATATGAGTTCTTTCTAAATATGAAATAGAAATGAGGATCATACATGAAGGTATACTGATTAGATGTTTTAGTAATAATTCAAATTAACTCAATCAGAGCATGTGTATAATATTTGATAGTGAAAATGGCTGTATTAGACCATTCACTAAGTGTGTTTGGTAACCAAAGTGTTTCTTTTTGTAGTGTTTTTTTAAAAAACATCATACCATGGTGTTTATTTTTCAAACGTGTTTTTAAAACACCATTTATAGTTATTATTTATATAGCGGCGGCGGCGGAAGGGCGGCGCGGCTGCCGTCTGGGCTGACGACCGCCGGGGCCGACCGAACTAGTGACCGTCGGCGACGACCGGCAGGCGGCGGCAGGCGGGGGCGGCGGCAAGGCGCGCGCGGCTGCGGCAGGCCGGCGGCAGGCGGCGGCAGCGATCTGGTGACGACCGGCGGCGAGCGCAGGCCGGCGAGCGACGGCAGGCGGCTGATGCTGGCGTCGACCCGTCGATGACCCTGGCACAGTCGACGGGCCGGACAACCACCGGAGCGGGCTGCAAGCCGTCGGACGGCGCAAGCGACGGTTTGGCGGGGGGCGACGAAGAGAACCGACGGGGCCGCGCGTCGGCGGCGACGGACAGCCGACAGGGGCAGGTGGGGGCGGCGCGGCGCAGGGTAGCGGTGGCAACGCGACGGACAGCCGACGGGCAGCGGCAGCGACGGCAACAGGCGACGGACGACGCGACCGGTAGCGGTGGTCTAGCGGTTGGCGGCGGGCGGGTCGGCGGCAGGACGGCGGCGGCAGCTGCGGGTGGCGGCGGCAGGCGACGGCGGCCAACGAGCAGCGGCAAGAGGCGCGACGAGCAGCATCGGGCGGCGCGACGGACGGTCGACGGGCGGTGGCTTAGATTGAAAAAATGGGAACGGCAGCGGCGAGCGGCGGACGGTCGAGCGGCAGCGGACAACCGACGGCGACGGCGGCTGTGGCGACGCGCGGGAGGGTAGCAACAGGCGTGACAGCGGTGGTGGGTGGCCGACGGTGGGCGGCGGACAACCGACGAGGCAAGCGCGGGGCACGGGCGGCGGCTTAGATGAAAAAACGGAATCTCAAAACACATTTTTGGTGTTTTAAAAAAAGCGTTCAATTTTTGGATTTTGTAAAGGGTCAAGTCAAAAAATCGCCCTTATTGCCAAACACGTTTCATTGTTTTTTTTTTTTTGAAAAAAAAATGAAAATGGCAAAAACGTCATGGTTGCCAAACGCAAATTATTTTTGGATCAGAGTATCTAGATTCTCAATTATAGTCATGTTTCATATATAGTCAATTTATGCCACTAATCCATCTATCGTATGTAAAATTAAAATTATGACACGAGCAGAGCTAGGCTATTGTTAAGAATATTCAATGTGCAAATACTGTCAACGCATGCAATTTTGAAATTTGAAATCCAAAAATAAAAAATCCATGCAGAGCATGTGATCTATTACACATGAACTATTTAGGAATGAAATTTTAATTAAAAGATTTTGATATGTCTTGGATCATATATCAAGGGGCGAAAAATTAAGCAACTATATCAAAATTCTAAAGTGTCGATTTTAACGACATACAATACACATGTCAACGATGTTGAGTTTTTTTAAAATTTTATGTCTAGATTTTTCATGTGTACTAGATTACACCTATTTGTTCCAATTTTATTTTTGAATTCCGAATTACAGAATTGAATAGATAGTATTTATACATTTGATACTATTAATAGAAACCGAGCTCAACTCAGTATGGACGTCGACTTCAAGTTGAACCATCCACGGCTAAAACTGCTGTAGATTCAAATTTTCATTCTGTTACTCCACGCGCTCGTAAGCACCATGACCATTGACATTAGTGAGTAGTAAAACAGTTGTGAATGTGATAATCCCTCATTATTAGCAACTATATGTGACATGATTCATGACCAAGTAGACAGCCACGGGTTCAAACTTCCTCTACTTTTGACCAATAAGGCGGGAATTACCGTAGCGAAAAAGATGAATGGGTTCGCTGACCAAGTCCACGGATAGTGACGAGACAAATATCACTTTTGTATACGTAGCACCGCAAAAGTTTGATTCAGCCAACTTTACCAATTCATGAATGGGCCGAATGGCTTTCCCATTGAATTTTTTGACTTCGTCTCCTCACTTTTTTTATCACTGCTGATATGCCCCTTTTTTTTATCACTTGTATCATTCCTAAAATTTTCTATTAGAACTTTGACTATTCTGATAACTGAACAGATCATTATCCTCTCATTATTTGTACATGTCACGTGGGTTTCAGATGACACTTTTATGTTCCAAAGGTATCTCCTGACATTTCACCAACAAACTACAAAGCGATATTAATGGTCCTGTTTGGCAAAGTGTTAAGAAAAAGTGGTTAAAAAAAAGTATTAATGTACTTAGCTCATTCGATAATCTGAAGGACTAAATTATTAACCCGTTAAATAAGTTTTATTTTAGTCATTGCGATCAGTTTTAGTGTTTGGGAATAACAATGATTGTGACTATTTTCTTTATAATCAGAAGGGTTAACTCTTAATCCTTCTAAATAGGAGTATTAATTAGTAAACCCCTCTTTTTGAGGGGTCAACTCATTTTAATCCCTCTAGAGGGGTTAGCTTAACCATTCTATATTTTTTTATGTTTAGCAAATTATGGAGGGTTAACTCACTTTAACCGTTGTATATATAGATATTTTGTGTTTGGCGGGTTAAGAAAGGGTTAAGTCACCTTAACCCCTCACTTAACCCTTTGTCAAACAGTGCCTTGTAGATGTAGAACATAAGCCCCTCATAACTCGTCTAGATAAAGGAGGAGACTTATACTCCTAAATACAACGTCTTACCTAGGTGTTGAATAAAAAGGTTTACGAATAACGTAGAAATTATGTCTATAATTAACACTTAATTCGTTGTTAAATTATTGAACATTTAATAAGGAATATTAACAACTAAGATATTTATCTAACATACTATACCAAATCCTAATCCTGTCATATTATTTTCCTTTTTTAAATAGAGGAATTAAGATGCCCAGAGCTTTGAATTTTCTAAAAGGAGCAACACGAGAAAATTGACCAACAACTTATTTGCAACTAGGCCAACTTCATTAAGGAATAGTACTCAAGAATCCAAGAAACAA